CCCCTCCCGTCCCCGCTCACCACGATAGCAGTGACCGGCTGTCCCGGTACGAACGCCATGCCCTCCCATCCCCGCTCACCACGATAGCAGTCACCGGCTGTCCCGGTACAAACGCCATGTCCGCCCCGTCTCCGCCGCCGCCGCCCGAACAAAAGCGCCTGTCCCGGCCCCGCCCCCCGCTCCCCGCCAGCCAATCCGGAGCCGCCCCGCCCGCAGCGCCCCGCCCCCGCGGCCGCGTCCCGTCGGCCCCCGCGCCAAGATGGCGGTCGGGCGGTGCCGGTGGAGCGGCCGGGGCAGGCCGGGCCCGGCGGGCGGCCCGCGGTGACGGGCGGTGTGGGGCGTCCCTTGGCACGGTGCGAGGCCTGACGGAGCGGCGGGGCTGCGCGCCGCCGTGGATGAGAGGTATGGAGGAAGGGGAGAGCGGGCGGGAGGGGCCGCGGGGCCGCCCAGCTGTCCCGGCGGCCTGAGGGCGAGCGGGCGGGTGTACAGCGTGTGTTTGCCTCACCCCAGTGTCGGTGCGAGCGAGGAGGTGCCCGAGCCCGGCCGGGAGCCATGGCCGCCGTGGTGGCCAAGCGCGAAGGGCCGCAGTTCATCAGCGAGGCGGCGGTGCGGGGCAACGCGGCCATCCTGGACTATTGCCGCACCTCGGTGTCCGCCCTGTCCGGMGCCACGGCGGGGATCCTCGGCCTCACCGGCCTGCACGGCTTCATCTTCTACTTCCTGGCCTCCGTCCTCCTCTCCGTGCTGCTGGTGCTGAAAGCCGGGCGGCGGTGGAACAAGTACTTTAAATCGCGGAGGCCGCTGTTCACGGGGGGGCTCGTGGGAGGGCTCTTCACCTACGTCCTGTTCTGGACTTTCCTGTACGGAATGGTCCACGTGTACTGAGCAGCTCCGGGGCTAACGGAGCGGGAGGACTGTTGCCAAAAGTCACTACACAATAGGCCAGCTCACTTTCCAAACTGTTGTCCATGGCTCGTGTCGTTAATGCTGTTGGTAAATTATGTCCAAGTACGAATTAATCAGTAGCACTGTTCTAATTAAACTGAATGTGAAGCACCACATGGAGGCCTCCTGTATTTGTTTCCTTGTTAAGGGGTAATTTCTGTCCCTAAGAGCAGGCACTGTATGGGTTTGATTCATATAATCCCTTGCAGCATTTGTGTTTTGGATACRCATGACAGTTTGAATTCCCTCTGGATTTGCTGCCTTGTCCCTACACACAAATACTGATGGAGCATATGTAACACAGCACTCTGAAATAATTAAATAATTTAAAATAATCCACTGACACAAGAAAATGCTGTMATTAAGTGCATGTTCTATTCCACAATTGCTATCAGTAAATGACACTGTCACAGGTGCTTGTCACTGTCATCAGAAAAGTCACTTAAGAGGATAATTCCATCACCCACCATCCAAGTACTGCCTCTCATATAGCCCTGTTCCTGGAAACAGTGATTCATTGACTTGCTTACATCACTGAATCACCAAGAGAAGGTGGTGTGACCTGAAAAAGCACTGTACAGAACAGTCTCAGGGAGCATTGGCCCAAAGTGACACATTTTATTGCTGTGCATTAAACACAAGGGGAAAAAAAGTCAAACTCAAGAAACGAGCTCCTGAGAAGGAATCTGGTTATGTTTTATTAACAGCARGGGTTGTAGGAATTGTGTTACACAGTATGAAGAAAGGAAACATTCTGGGGAATCTGGGAGGCCTGAAGAYTTAGAGTCAGGAAATAGCTTTGGTCCTCTAACAAGAGGAAGTTTTGTCAAGTTAAAACAATGGTTTCAACAGAGCACAGTCAACTTTGCATGTAAGGATGAGCTGCTTGGTCACCAGGAATCGTGCCAGGCTTCCATGTCACATGGGGGTTTCACCATCTAGAAGTTACTCAACAAGAATTAAACTCTGAYACTCAAAAGCCTGGGCTGTTGGGGTGGTAACTCTTGTGCAGTTCCACACTTGGTGACTTGTGTCTGCCTAGAGGAGAGACTTGGGACACRGAGAGGAGGTTTTGGATCAGATGAGAGCACCAGAGGTACACAGTTTATTCTAAATTAACTCCACCGTTGAAYTCTATTTTCCAGCCACATTTCTGACTCAATACACAGATGCAAAGGGAGTGACCTAGACTGGGTGGGGTTTGCTATGGGTTCAGAGGTGAATTTTAACTTAGAATGAACCTGTACCTCAGAGTAACCACCTTGAAGAAGTTAAAGCAGAGGTGGGTGCAGCTGCCAGTGCCTTCTGTGCAGGCACTCGGTGGCAGCAGCTCCCTGAAGGCCACACTCAGGTGCTGCAGCAGGAGCCCTTTAAATCTTGGTATTTAAAGAGTGCACAGAAACATTTAATCTTCATCACTACAASTCCCAGTCAGTGGTGATGGGCACCATTTACATAACACAATATTCCATAAGCCCTTTTCTGACATGAGTGACATCCCYACATGCCATAAATGGACAAAATGGGCTGCAGGGGGACAGATTTCTCTATTGAGAAACAAAGAAGCACTTGTATTTCCTGGAAGTTCTGGTGTTGAAGTAACAGGCAGATGTCTCTTGAATTTTCCTGCTGTTGGTGATYTAGAGGAAGCTGGCAAAGCCTGTCCCTGCCAGAGTTGCCCTCTCTGGGTACTGTGAGAAACACAAGCATTGAGTGCCCCATCCAGATCTCCCCACCACGAGAAATCAGGAAGTGATGCAGGAAGGACAATCTTGAGCAAACAAAACCAGKCACTGAACAAAGGAGGCAGAACTTAAAACCCTGTTTAAAACTTAAATCCCTGTGCAGGTGCTTCCAGGGCCACGTTGCTTTTCAGTGCATTAACCCCCCACATCAGAGTGACTGTCCTCCCCTGCCACAGCCCCTTCCCCAGCTCCCTGAGCTGCTCCTATGCCACATTTCCCTGCACTTCCCGAGCAGAGCAGTCCTGCTGCTTCACACCTGATGTCACATCRCACAGGCAGGAGCTGGAAGTGGTGGCTGCTGAGGCAGCAGAGCAGGAGACAGGTTGGATTTCAGCTTCAGCCCTTGCCAAAGAGCCAATGGTGATTTCCATCACAGCTTTTTTTTCTGCACGTGGAAGCAAAGCACAGCCACAGGACGATGCTGGCTATTGGCATTAAGTACAGATAGATCTATCAGTGGATATAAAAACATTCATTTAGTGCCTTCTTTGTCCTTTTATAAAAATCCTTTTATAAATTCCGTAGTGATGACACACTCAGAATACCAGAGAAATCTCAGGGAAGAAGGGCAGTCTTTRTAGGAGGTTTCTTCCTCTGGGAATCCTGATAACAGTAGGCCYGATGTGGGGTATGTCCACCCCTCAGTGCTGGTGTGATTCCACACCCGTGTGGTTTTCCTGGAGCACGAATCCAGCTGGCAGAGCCACTGCTGTGCTCAGAGCCCATCGAGCTGGTCTGGGCTCTGATTCCCGTTCAGCGTAGGGCTCGACAGGGACTTCCTGGAACWGGACCTGGGGAAACAAGCACAGGGGACAGGATGAGCAGCTGGGTTTGTTTAAGGAAACAAAAATGTTCCCTGTCTCACCTTACCCCAAAGTCCCCTCCATACAGCAAAAGCTCCAGATCTCAGTTTTAYGAGCTGTCCCAGTTCCACCCTGGGTCATTAGGGACCAACAGCACAGGGCCATTGCCAGTCCAACCATGACACAGCACCTGCCTTTGCAGCAATGAATTACAGAGGGAGCCAATAATTTCACCAAAATCACTTTGAGGAATATATTTCCCTGGAATTGGCCTTGGTTTGCCAGTAACGGTGATTGTACTCCTGTATCTTCTCGTATTTCTATCACTCACCAACAATAAGCCAGAATTTTTCACACAAAGCCAAGCTCACTTACTTTACTTCCTCGTACTTTTTGCCTCGATAAAAGTTACTCTTCTTGATCAGATACAGCAGCACCAGGTCACAAAAGAAAGCTCCCTGCAAAGGGAAAGAAACAGAACCTTTGAAACAGAAGAGGAAGCGTTCTGATTTTATTAGCAATGAATATTAATTAAAGAATAACTCAGAGAAGCTGTATTTTCCTTCATTCTCCATGCATTTTCTGGGGTTTATGTATTATATACCCCCTGTGGGGATGTTTAGACTGCCAGGTACATTAACAAACACCTTTAAGACAGGACACAGACTGGCTGAGTAGTGAAGACTCTGCTGGAGAAAATTTAAAGACCCCCTCCCATTTTCATCCCATTTAGGGTCAGAGTCCCCTGGGGTTACTTTAAGACAAAACATTTACTTACAGCTCCCATGAGCGCCAGCCCCGAGCTGATATTGATAATGGTGGGAATGATGTTAAATTTCCCTGCCTGGAAGGAGAAAGGTCATGAAGTCATCAGTGAGAGAACAACCCACAAAACAAACGCAAGGGTGTGGTACTACCCAGGGGAGGCTGCTGCTGCCTRTGGCTGTGTTTTGTTCACAGACATAACCGTGGGGGATTTGCAGTGAACTGCTCTTGGAGGCTGAAGGTCTGTGTGTCTCAGATCTGTCTGTCCCTGGCTGCATTAATGAGCTTGCATCATCCCTGAATTAAGCTTCTTTTTTTTCTGCAGTGCTTATGCATGGAAAACAAGGAACCTGTGCTTCTGTTGGGCTTTCCATGAGCCTGGTTTTAGGTAGAAGAGGCTAGGTTGGTGTCCAACCCTCTTACACAGGGTTAGCTCCCCATGGGTGGGTGGGAAAAGCCCTTTCCTCCAACAAGCCAGAGAGGCTTTCCTCACCCCAGAGCTGCCTTCCCACTGAGTAATGTCCCCACCTTCTTTCTGTCGAGGCCCTGGGCCCTCACCTTGCCATTGACCATCACATCGAAGCGGATTCCGTACGCTTTAAAGAGCGTCCGGTAGTCGACCCCCTGAGCATCCCGGTAATACTTGGCAAACCTGCAATAAAGCAGTGCTGGGTTTAACTCCATCTGCCCCTCTGAATTCACACATCTCTTCAATCAGATCTATTTCCTTATCAAAACCAGCTTTAGAATTCACTCACCCCTTCAATCAGATCTATTTCCTTATCAAAACCAGCTTTAGCCCACCAGGAGCACTCTGTACCTCCCTCCCTGCTCTGCAGCAGTCTCTGCCTGGCTGGGGCAGTGCCTGGCACAGGCTGGTGCCACTCCACTGCCAASCTCCAGCACCTGCAAGTCCCAGCAGCCCAGCCCAGCTGTTGGAGTGCACTGTGCCCTSCTCTGTACCCACCTGAAGTTGTACCCAGAAGAGATGGACGTTTCTGCAGACTTGTTGTCCAGCCGGCTAAAAGAATAGTGAGGATTACATTCAGAAGGGGCTTTATCAAGATCACAGTTCCATTCAATCTGAATTCCTATCACACCACCCTTAAAAGAGAGAGACAGGGTGAGTTGTTTAAGCTTAGTTCAGTTAAAGTGTCTTCAAATCTGTCAAATCCTTGGGCAGGTTTTCCCCAGGGGTAGGAACAGCTGCACTTCTGTCACAGACAGGGGCCCACACTCCTGGCTGGGCTGAGTTCAGGTATGTGATATTAATCCCATCTTTACTCCCTTTTTTTACCATTTTTCCCTGTGAGATTTCTCATCCCAGGACTTTGGTTTCACTCATTTAAGTGGCTGTACCATGCTTCAGTGGAGAAGTCATGATCTTTTATCAAGATCATGATCAAAGTCATCATCTTTTATACAGGGGTGGAGTTCCAGAATTCTGAGTTTAAACCAACGCTGTAGTAATGCTGAAATTAAACAAATAATCCTTGCTGGGCAACCCTGAGTAGCACATGAGTGACCCAACCAGCTCTTTTAGAGGCTCTCTATTCCTTGGGGTCAGGATAAATGGCATCAGCTTGACTTTAAGCACCAGCACCTCTGCAGTGCAGCCTGGACAGGAGGCGGTTCCCTGGGCAGTGACTGTCCCCACATCCTCCCAGTGAGCAGCTGGGAAGACACACGAGCCCAAGGGACACTCCTACCTCCAAGGCCATTTCCTGGAAGTTGCCCCCAGCCCAGCGGACGATGTTCCCCAGCACAAAGATGGGGCAGTAGGGGTGCTCCTGGCTGWACCGACACGTCTTCAGGTAGGACTCATTGTCAGTTGCCAGCACGTTCATCCTGCATGTAGGAAACAGGGAAATCCACCTTGTCTCCCTCTTCCCTTGCCTCCACCAGGACTACAGGGACAAGGCTTTCCCAACACCCTCTGTGCAAGCAGCCTTGTCACCCTGCAAGTGGCTCTGGGGAAAGCAGTCTCCCCCCAAAATGACTTGCAGGTCAACAAGGACTTGGCCAGCTGAATCTGGGCTCACAAGGAGCCAGACTGCTCCAGGGCCACCTGGTTTTCTCAAGGAATAACAACAGGATGCTAGAAATGCCTATCTGAACATGGGAGAACACCACAACATTCACCTTTCTACACTGYTTTAGTTTGTTCATATTGCAGCAGCAAAGACAAACAAATCTTTTTAAATCTGCATTTTTCCCAGCCTTGTCCAGGCATTTCATTTTTCTGGAAGAGAGGGAATATCTGTTGAGCAGGAGCAGCTCAGGAACCTGTGCACTTACTTGGAGAACTTAAACTTGGGGAAGCGAATGGAGTTCTTGATGTAAACAGTGAAGTTCTCTGCGCTGCCCAGAAGTGGTTTCCTGGAACAGAAAGGTTTGTCCTCTGTCTTACATCTGTCCCTTGCCCACCGTGCTAAACCTTGAATTGCCATTGAGAACCAGCTTCATCCAAAAAGGTTGGATGACACCAGGTGAGCCGTGCCACTCCCCCACAGTGCCAGTGAGGGGTTGGTGAGGAACGTGCAGGTCCAGGGGACACCCCAAGAGCTGGAAACAGCCAGGGAGAGAAGCAGAGGGAGCAGAGGACCAGTCCTGCCAGGGGAGACCTTGAACAGCCAACATTCGAGCGAGCACCCAAGCAGAGGGGACACAGGAACTGCCCTGAGTGACACACAAGTGACACAGAAGCCAAGCAACTCAAGCTTGGAAACAGGACACGTACTTGGGCTTGGATCTTTTCTCCACTGGGCACCAGGCCAGTATCTCACAAGTCCCTCTGGTGCTGTCCCTGTCTTTCAAACAGCGGCCAGTCTTAACCCCTGCGAGCAGACATCACAGAAAAGGTCACACCAAGCAGCCACCTCCTCCCCTTGCCCACAGGCCAGATGAAAATAGAGCATTTTCCCTCCTCCCTGCTGTGAAAGGGCCTCTCAGCCGGAACAAACACCCTCTTGTTGTGTCTGAGCAGCCCGGGGTGCCCCGGCCCAGCCACCGCAGAGCTGCAAGCACGGCAAAGATCTTAATAAAAGAGAGAAAAGAAGGAAAGAAAGGCCTTGGTGCTGTCTGTAATGAGAACTCAGGGGGTGTCACCAGGYTGAGGGCTCCGAGGGACACCGGGCACACACAGGGACCCTTCCCTTACCATTGCCAGCCACCACTGCTGCCCCTTCCACRCAGTCCGTGTCCTTGTCACACAGGGCATCGGGAATGCTGGTGCTCTGCAGATGGGAAAAGGACCCAGATGAGAGTGGGACAGGACACCTGAGTCAGGGGGGTGACAAAGTGCTGCTGACACAGGAAGAATTCTCTGCAGGAGCACTCAAACCATGCAGCTGAACACAAACCATGCAGCTGAACTCAAACCACTCCGCTGAAGTGGTGATTTAGGGTCATGCAAACATCCATCACCACCAGGARCACCAGGGCTCAGCCACACCATCCTGGTTTTGGGTTCTGCTTGCTCTGGAGAGGGAGAATCAAAAAAACCCAGCATTGCTACTCACAAAAACCAGGCAGGAGGCCACTTTGCTCTAAGATAACCCTGCATTGGATCTAAGCCACAAAGTTCTCTGGCCCAAAGCTGCCCCTTGTCCTGGCTGCACGGTCACCAGAGGACAGCAGTGTCCTGACTGACCATCCAGCCATGCTCCTGATCTGTAACATGGAAAATCCATGGACACAGCACTCCCTGCAGAGCCAGAGACCTCCTTCCCCAGGCTCCAGCCCATTCCAAGCATTTTCACAGAGGATATTCCACGTGGCACTAAAACCCCGTGGCTCTGGCCCTCAGGGCATGTTCTGGGAGGTGCTGAGCTCCATCCCGTGTGCCCGCAAGGTAACAAGAGCCTGTTCAGCACTTCCCAGGAYGGGGCTCCTAAAAAGTCTCCCCTACCCATAACTACCCTGAGCCACCTCAAAGCTGTTTTTCCATGGCCTTTTGTGACCCTGCCTGGTCTCATCCCCAGCTGGGCAGAAATCCAACACCCCCTAAAGTCAGGAAGGCTCTACGTGATCAGTGCCTCTGGAAATTCAGACAGCTGAGCCTCCCAGGTTTACAGTAATTTCCCAACWGAGATATTACACTAGAGGAAAAAAACACTTGTCTTCCATCCTTCCTTTATTTGTTGCTCCAGAAGTGTCCTCTGTCAGTTCTTACCCCCAGTTTTGCAGGGGCCTGGGGGTCAAGGGGCTCAGTTCTTCCTACCTCAGGACACGTGTCCTGTCTCTGGTTTGGGGTCACGATCAGATTTGTCATGACAAAGAAGACGCTTTCACCCTGCAATAAACAAAGAGTTAGAAAACATGGTTTACTTCTAAATTAACTTTTGCTTGTAATGAGGGGGATGCAGAAGAGAATAATCTCCCTCTCTCCAAGGCATTTCAGGCCTTTCAGATGACCCAACATCACCCTTTGTGTGGGAATTTGTTTGGCTGAGGTYCCTCAGGCTGTGGGTGCTCACACAACCCTGAGAGCCAGCCCACGGACCTGGCGGGAGGCAGAGCACCCCCAGCATCCCAAATAAAAAAAACTCACAACAGAAAACCCCTTCCAGCATGACTTTCTTGTAGCCCAACTCCTGCTAATTCCCAGGGAACACCYGGAGASATCAATCCAGCACCCACATGGRCAGGRACAGAGCAGGGGGTGATGCCAACCTGGGGAGGGATGACATAGTCTGCCACATCCCACAGCCTCTCCCCCAGCTCCGAGGTGTTGGTGAAGGCCACCCCTTTCAGCTTGGTGATGACAGAGCTCTGGAGAGAMGTGTCTGTGTCCTGGTAGCCTTTCTTGACCACAAACACCCACCTGTGTGAACACAGCAGCGTTAGGGGTGGTCAGGGAGTGAGGCAGACAGAGAAATTCACACCAAGGTCAGATCAAAACACTCCATTGATTCCAAACCCTCTGCAACTTCTGCCTCTAATAAAGAATAAACCCTTGGACACAAGCTGTGCTCGTCCACAGTGGGGAAAATGTGTCATAACAGGTTRTGAGGTAAAAAACCAAAGCCTCACACCTCCCTCAGTGCTACACTCAACAACCTCAAAAAAAAGGAAGGAAGAGCAGGGCTGTGTCTTTCTCAAATGAAAAATGATACAAACTTTTCAGGTTGCAGGGAAAGTGGGGTTGGTTCCACAAGCACAGAACTCTCATTTTAGCACCCAGCTTTGGGGCTGCCAGTCAACAACAGCCCAGGGCTGGGGAGAGACAACCTCAGCTGAGCATCCCTTACAGGAACCTGCAGGGAATGTTCTCAGCTGGATCCAGGGTCTGTTGGAACCCCTGTGATGGGAACAGCCTGACCTCAGCACGCTTGGGAGAGCTGCTGCTGCCTTGCTGAGCAGTCCATGGAAAGGCTTTGTTTGCTTCTCCCCCCTGGAAGCAGCAGGAGCTCCATTTCCCTGGGTGAAAACCTCTGGCTCAAATGAAATGCTTCCAGCTTGCTAAAATCACCTGGCAGGACAATAAATCACCCTGGAAGGAGSTGAGGGTGCTGGGACAGGCTGGGACAGGGGCAGAGGCTGTCCCTGGGGCACAGCTCCTTTCTGTAGGGTGGAGGGATGGCAGCACTGGCAGCTTTTCCCTCACTGCCACATGTGACACACCTGCACATCTATATTCCCCACCCTGGGAAGTTCCCTACTTTCCTATTTTCCGGAGAACATTGATTTCATCTCCCAGAACGAAAGCAAACCTCTGCAGTGAATCACTGAAGGAATGGCAGCTGCATCCACAGAATAACTCAGAGGAGWTTGGTGATCCCGACCCCAACACATTCCTGTGAGCCCCAGGCACAAAGGAATCACTGCAGGGACCAGCAGTGACCGTGCCAAGGGTTTGCAGGAGGTAACAGATGCCAAATGAGGAAAATATCTACTCCCTGTCCCCCCTAGACGTGTCCTCAGTGATGTTACCCACAGAGTTCCTCCTCCTGCAGCCAGCMCATGCCAGGCTGTGAGGTTTTGCTGCTGCTTTGCTCCCTGGAGCAGCTCTGGGACTGCACTGCTTGCTATAAATACACCCAGCACCGAAAAGTGACTCTGCTATATTTAATCAGTGCAACCACGAGGCGTGAGGAAGGTGAAGGGACCCAGAAGCACAGACAGTGAGGGAACAGCCGTAGGTATCCCGTTCTGAAAAGCCTCAGAAACTCGGGAAGCAGCGGCACAGGCTGGATAATCCCCGGTGTGAGCCTGCAGGGACAATCCCTGTGCCCATCACACACCAGTATGACCAGTCTCCCGGCAGARAGGCAGAACTGGGGCCTTTCCAGAGCCAACCCTCCCTCTCCAAAATGAATGCAAGGCAGCCAACATTCCCGCTGCCTCAGCCCCCACAGTCCTGGCTGCTGCAACCCACTCAGCTAAAAAATCTCCCCTTTTCTCCTTGCTCCCCTCCCATTTATCCCTGAGCAGTTCATGGTGCTGTGCAGAAAACCCATGTGTGCCCCAAGGCTCAGCACCATGGCWGTAAATGCTCCTTGTTCCCCGTGAGTCAGGTGTAAAGGTTTGGCACCATTCCCACAGAATATAGAAATAAAATCATAAATAATGCAGCACAAAGCCATGGGGCTATTTTTAATCCGACCTTAATCTGAAAGGCAGAGCTGGATCTAGTGATTGCTAGCAGGTGAAAAATCAGATATCATCTATCAGGCATGACAAAATGCAGCTTTATAAACCTGCCTAATTATCTGCATTAAAATCGCRAGGCACAGCAGGCTGTCACTGCGTGCAGAATACCCTAATTCATCTTAATCACAGCAAAATTCATCCTTATCACAGAAAAACTCATCTTTATCCCTGCAAAAGCTGAAGCAGAGGGCGATTCTTACCCCACCAGGTAAGCCAGGATGGAGAGCTGCACCACTCGGTAGAGGATCCCGACCTTCTTGTTCTTTGCAATGACGTATTTCTCCGTTTTATAGTCGAAAAGAGACAGAAACAAAGCCTTCCAAGCCACCTGCCCCATGCTCCCGGCTGGCTCGGTGGCTGGAGCAGGCACAGCTCGCAGCACCCACACGTGCAATGCATGGAAACCCGACACACCAGCCCCGATCTCCTCCTCCTCCTCCTCCTCCTCCTCCTCCTCCTCCCTCAGCTGCTCAGTGAAAACTCAGCAGCTGCACTGAGGCAGATCCTTCCTGAGCTGCTTTCCAGCTGATTCATCCCTCGGGAAAATCCCTCTCCCCTCCCTCAGTTTTGCCCCCTGGTTTTGTTCTCAGCTCCCCGAAATGTTTTGAATGAAATATTTCGGTGATCACAGAATTGGCTGAGCTGGAAGGGACACACAAGAATCATCCAGCCCAACTCTTAGCCCTGCACAGACACCCCGAAAATCCCACCCTGGTATTGTTGTCCAAACATTCCTGGAGCTCTGTCAGGCTGTGAGCAGTCCCTGGGGAGCCTGGTCAGTGCTCAGCACCTTTCCCTGAAATCCAAGCTAAACCTCCCCTGACACAGCTCCAGCCATTCCCTCGGGTCCTGTCCCTGGTCACCAGAGAGAAGAGCTCAGTGCAGCACCCATAGCTAAAATCTCTCACCATTTCCTAATGATTAAAGCTTTTCTTCAGCTTTTACAGGATGACAAAGCACCAGGTTATTAAATTTTTGATTTCTTAAACATTTGCGTGAGCAATGAGAACCWGGGCCATCGGCAGTCACCCAAAATACCTGTCTGACTTCCACACCTCCCCACCAAAACCCAGATTAGGAGACTCATKAATAAATTCTGCATCTGCTTGTGGACCAATCAATGATTTCCAGGAACTGGACCTGAGGAAACCAGCACAGGGGACAGGATGAGCAGCCTGGGTTTGTTTCAGGCAGCAATGGGGACAAGAAGCTCCCAGCCAGCCCTGTCTCACCTTACCCCAAAGACCCCTCCACACAGCAAAAGCTCCAGATCTCAGTTTCAAGAGGCTCTTGGAGCTGTCCCAGTTCCACCTTTGGTCATTAGGGACCAACAGCACAGGGCCACTGCCAGCCCAACCATGACAAAGCAGCTGCCTTTGCTCCCCAGCTCACTGCAGCAATGAATTAGAGTGAGCCAGTAATGGATAAACTCATTTAAAAKAATATAATTTCCTGTAATTTACCTTTGTTTGTCATTAACAGTTACTGGGCTCCTGTATCTCCTTTTATTTCTATCAGCCAGAACAACGAAGCCACTGCCCTGCACAACTCCCTTCCCTGGGAAAATAATTCTCACAATTTCAGGCTTTCATGAGAATTTTATCCATCATCCTCCTTAAATTCCACACCGAATTTAAACAAATGGAGCTGGTTTTTAATGAAGTTGCTCCAAATCACAGGAGAATCACAAAATCAGCATCATAAGGAACAGAACACTCATTTTGTGCCTCGCCCCAGAGCCATCCCTCTGCAAAGGGAAAGAAACCTTTCTCTGGAACCTGCAAAAGTAGAACACAAACCTGCCTGTGGCCTGTCTGCCCTGAGCCTTTGTAATTACTTTCCAGGCCAATTAATCTGAGAAAGGATTTACACAGGTTAAAAAAAAATTAAAAAAAATAAAAAAGAGACAAGTTCCTTAGAGCGAGAAGTGTTCTGCTCTAGGTGTGACCTGAAAATGCAAACCACATTTGACCACTGAAATAAAAACACAACGAGAATGTAAAAATGGTACTTTATTGGGGTTTTGTAGGCATCACAGGTGCAATGGCCGTTTTGGAATAAAAAGTGCCTCAGAATGTTTGAATGCTGCTCAGCACAAGCTGAATTTTTGCTGACAACACTGTTGCTGCAAAAATTTAGCTTGTACTGAGCTGCAAAACCAACTTAGCTGGTACTCTGTTGCATGCTCTTACAGATATTGTTTTTATCACCTGGTTTTCACAACTCTGGGGTTTTTTTCTTGCCTCAAAATCAGGTCCGCTGCTGTGTTTTTCAAAATATCTGTGGGTGCTCAAAGGAAAGCGATTTCATTCACAGCAGGGGAGTAAATAACCCACCAAAGATTAGTTGTCATCACTTAAAGATTAAAATAATGTAGTGTCTCTTAGTCCTTCTCACGGGACTGAGGAAAGGTATTTTCCTTTTTCAGTTCAACACTTTGAATTTGCCATGGAAAAAAATCCCAGATTCTGCTCCATTCCCACGAGGGCTGTTTGCTCAGTCTGGAAATTCTCCCAGGGAKGATTTCTCCTCCAGGACTGAAACTCCTCCTTTCTTTTTTTTTCCCCCCCAATTCCTGCCATGTCACCCCTGTACTGAATTCCTCACAATGCTGACAGTAATTGCCTTTYCACACTCACAGGATTCACATCCAGACTTCTCCTCATCTACTTTTCCTCCACCTGTCACTGTTAAGCTACCCCGGAGCTGTTCTCAACCTGGAAATGTCACCTTGAAGAGCTGTGAAAATTCAACTTTCACCCCCTGCCCTGATCCGGGGCCATTTGAAACTCAGCCAGGCCACATCTGACGCTGTGRAATGGAAAGATTTCCGGATCAGCTCAATGATATCTTTAAATTACACCCAAACAGAACCCGTGCTTTCCAGGGCAGCAGTGATTCACCGCTCAAATGCCCGATTTAGCCACTTGTCCTGGTCATTTCCAGCACCAAATTATCCCCCYGGGCACAGATTTATCACCGTAATCCCCACCCCGTGGCTCCCAAAGGTTGTCTCAGAAATGCTGAGCCATTTCTGCAAATGTCTGAGTGATGCAGATCCATCATCTCTCCCAAACAGGCGCCAGAGCTGCTGCTGAAATAGCGGAGAYGGGAGGGAGTAAACAGGAGATTTGGCAAGGAAATGATCCCAGAAAGGCAGGGGTCAGCTCTGTCAGAAGTTTCTGGTCACACTGTCATGAGTTGACATCTACAAAAACACAAGGTGAAGAGGGGAACGAGTTGAGAGAGGAAGTTGCYCTKAAACYGCAGCTCRTGCACATAAAAACACGTGGAAATCWGACTGAAGGTGATGGGTTTGGATGTAAGAACAAAGAAATTTTGCAGCCCATGGTGAAAAATGCTTTCTTGTAATCCTGGCTGGGTAAATCAGCCTCTTTTTACCCTCCAGAATGGCTGCACACATAGAAAGGGAAATTGTGGGAAGAGTCTTTCTGTCACTGTCCACAGGAGCTGTCTGTAGGAAGGGAATGGAAATGGAGAGTGCTGAAATTGCAGGATATATTCTGTCTTCCATTCCAGGAGAGCCATTTGCAGCCTCTGACTGTGGTCCCTCTTCCTCCCAAACCCTGAATCTCCAATACAGAGGGCAGGAGTGCTGTTATTATCGGCTGCAACATTGATCCACTCCTCTCCCCTTATCCAAGAAGGGAAAGTGCTTAAGGAAGAGGAGCGGAGAGGAAGGAAAAATGGTGCACATTTAATGAAACCAACCCATCRTGCCCTGTTCTGGGAGAGAGCTGGCACTGAATCAGGTAAGAAATGAATAAAAGTGCACATAAAGCACTGCTGAGAGACTGAGTGCAAGGGYAGCTGGACCAGCAGTGCTGTGTTGAAAGGATTTCACCTTCTAAACTCAGATGATAAAAGCATCACTGGGAAATAAGAGAAGAACGCTGAACCAAAGCCTGAAGGGGTTTAATAAAATGTGTTTTCACATTAACCACTGATTTAAAGGTGAAACCTTGCTCTTGAATACACCCAACAGATCAGYATTTATTTCTCTGATTACACAAAGACATTAAATTGGTCCTGGCTGGATACCTCTGCCAGATCTCACCTCGCTGCAAGTGCTGAGGACAAACCTTCATCCCCTTCATCCACCTTCCTCATCTAAGCAGCTAAAAAGTTTCAAATGAAGCCTCCACCCTTTCCTCCCTGGAATTACCAGCTGCTAACTCCTTCCAGCCACAGGAGAACACAAATGCTGCTCAGACTTGACTCCAAGAGGAAAAATCATCTTGAGCAGCCCCCTCACCTGGCACCTGAGCTCATTTTACTTGCTGATGCTCTAAACCAGTGTGACCCTGGTGCTCTAACTGGTACGAGGCTGATGTGCCCCAGCTGTGCTGCACAGACCAACTGGAGCCAGCTCAGCCAGGCTGGGCATGGGGGAGCCAAGGAAATCAGTCTGTGGCACTGCAGCATCACTCAGCTCCTTCCCCYCGCTGTAATGAGGGACAGGAAATGTCTCTTTAGAGCTGCAATTCAATTACAGTCCAAATAAAGCTGCCCCAACAGACCCTGGAGCCCAGCAAAGCATTCCATGGCTCCTCTCTGATGCCCTCATGTCAGTGCCCTGAATTTAATAATGAAGAATTACTGATGCCYTCCTCCTGATGAGCTGAGATCACTTTCTCCTGCAAACCCCCAGGTCACCRCATTCCCACAGCTCTACACACAAACCTGGCAGCTTCTGAATGTGCTGAGGGAAACCCAAGGTTTGGGAATCTTCCTGGTGTGTGAGAAAGCCAGAAGCAGCTGGTGCTACCCCTGATTAAAGCAGCAGCACAAAACACGCGCTGTCCTCCTATGGGAAGCACAAAACCGTGAAGAAATGCAAAGCTGGATCAGTGAGGGTGATCAAACCAGGAAATTGTGGCTCTGCAAACCCTCTGCCACCTTTGCAAGAGGCAGAAAGGTCACAAATCATCCTGACAGCTCAGGGGGATCTGCAGCAGCTCCTCTGCTCCTAAACTGCTGCCAACCCCTTCACCTGGCTGGGGGTGAGTGGCTCCTGACCCTAAATGAGACATTCCCAAATCTTCTGTCCCAGCTGTGCCACTGCAGCCAGGCTTCTCCACAAGGGGGGATTTCACTCAAAATGTAGGGTGTAAATAAATTTAGAAGCAGAGACAGCAAGGCTCCCATGGAAACAGCGCAAAAAGCCAGCTGTGGTTTGGATGAGTCGAGTCTTGGCAGTCTTGGCTTAATCCCTTAAGTGCCATCCAATTAGTGCAAATGTGTTTGGCATCTGCTGCAGTGATTGCAAAGAATTAAATGGTCGATGGCACTCGCCGGAAATTACAAGTCACAGAACCCTGTAATGCATTTAAGAAAAAAAATCTAAAAAGGAAAATAGCATTACCCACCGCAAGGTCTGACCTCCTTGAGAGCCATAAGGGACAACAAAAGGCATCCAAGTAATGAAGGGAACTTAATTCAGGGAAGGAACTAGAAAAATAAAGGAGAGAAAGATTGTTGTTTTTCCATCAGGGAATATTGGTTAAGCCAAAGGAGACAGGAACTCTYTTGTCTTCTGGAGGTCTGGATGAGAAATCTTTGTCTAATCTAGTGCTGTCTATAAACACACATTAGATCTGTGGGGGTTGTGATCAGCCAGACATGACAGAAATAAATAAAACCACACAAATAGGGAGATAGAGAAAGGAACATTACCAAGAGTCCATCCTTGACCCTCTTTGGAATCCACAAASTGGGGCCTGAGTTCATTTCACTGGAGGAACACAAGGTCTGGCCAGTCATCACCTTTCCCTAAACTCTCCAGATTGCATTTAATGATAATCTGCAGCTGATAAATCACCGGTGTCAGTCTCCCAGATTAAAGAATTACAGATTTCTCTGTGTTCAGTAGAAAACGGGGAGTGTTCATTATGAAATTCCCAAAAGAACGGGAGGCCTCTGCTTGAGCTGCATCAGTACAAGATTTCCATACAAAACCCTGAAAATTCTGTGTCTGAAATAACAAATATCCTCCCTCTGCTTCTGTCCTTCAGTCAAAACCCGATTTCACTAAATTCAGTGGCAGAACAAAAGGTCTGGAATTTAACTCTGGGACGTGACTGCTTCTCTAGACTCAGCAAAACCATCTGGATTTCTCACTTGTTGCTGCCCCAAGGGAAGGGCCGAGCTGCCTGTGTGATCCTCACACCTCAACATTGTGGTTCTCTCCTTTTAGTCCACGTGGAGTTCTGTGTAGAAGGTGATTTTCCTCTGATTTTTCCAAGGATCAACAGAACAGTTCTGCTTTTTAAAAAACAATGGGAAAAGGAATAAAAGGAACAAAACATCAGCGGTTTTTCAGCAACCCCTGGCTCGCACTGTAAGAGCCACCCGGTGCTGTGCTGCCACCAAGCTGTGTCCCGATAACCTGAGTTACAGCTGTGACACCAAAGCCTGGAGGGCTCTAAGGAGCAACTCCYGGAGGAAACAGGAGAGCTGCAGCATCTCCGCTGAGCCCTGAGTGCCTCCCGGGAGACACCGGCATGAATAAAACACGCCCGTTGCTCTGCGGGCTCGGGAAATAGCATCGCACGTGGTGGAGCAGCGATTCCACCCCGGGAACGGCAGCTGAACGCGGCCACTCGAATGTGGGGCGGGATAGATGTGAAATACACGGTATTTACACGTTTAGAATACAGATAGACACACGTGCAGAGAATCGTTGAATGCTGGGGTCGGAAAGGATTTTAAAGATCATCCATTCCCAGCCCCGCTGCCATTTGCACTCGTGGGGTYGGAAAGGACCTTAAAGRTCATTTATTCCCAAMCCACCTCCCACTATTCCAGGTTGCTCMAGGTTTTATCCAGCCTGGCTTTGAACTTCGCCAGGGATGGGGCACCCACATGATCAACGTGTGCCAGTGTCCCCCCAGCCCCACAATTCTGTACACAGGTATAACACACGTGTACACGTGTGTGCCCCACGCACAGGTACAGAACACACATGTAAAACCCATTCATTGTGCCGCCGCAGCGACGGGTCCGAGTCCGGACGGAGCAGCGCTGGCACCGCCCATCCCGGCGGTTCGGAAACGCACCGGGGCGGCTGCCACGGTGTGCGGGGACCTGTACCGGAGCAGTAGGCGGGACACCTGGGACATTCCGGGACATTGCGGGACATCCCGGGACATTGCGGGACATCCCGGGGCTCGTGGGACACCCAAAACATTCCGGGACATTGCGGGGCACCCGGAACATTCCGGGACATTGTGGGACACAGTGGGACATCCCGGGACACTGCGGGACATTGTGGAACGTTCGGGGACATTGCGGGACATTCCGGGACACTGCGGGACATTCTGGGACACTGCGGGACATTGCGGGACACTGCGGGACATCCCGGGACATTCCGGGACACCCGGGACATTGCGGGACAGCCGGGACATTGCGGGACATTCCGGGACATTGCGGAACACCCGAGACATTCCGGGACACTGCGGGACATTCCGGGACACGCGGGACATTGCGGAACGTCCCGGGACACCCGAGACATTCCGGGACACTGCGGGACATCCCGGGACATTGCAGGACATTGCGGGACACCCGGGACATTCCGGGACACCCGGGACATTCCGGGACACTGCAGGATACCCGGGACATTGCAGGACACCCGAAACATTCCGGGACATTTTGGGACACCCGGGACATTGCGGGACATTTTGGGACACCCGGGACACTGCGGGACACCCGGAACATCCCGGGACAATGCGGGACATTTTGGGACACCCGGGACATTGCGGGACAGCCGGGACATTCGGGGACACCCGGGACATTGCGGGACACTCGGGACATTGCGGGACACCCGGACATCCCGGGACACTGCGGGACACCCGAGACACCCGGGACATTGCGTGACATTACGGGACACCCGGGACATTGCGGGACATTGCGGGACATTGCGGGACATTGCGGGAAACCCGGGACATTTTGAGACACCCGGGACACGCGGGAGCGACACCGACACCGAGAGGGCGTGGCCATGGGGGAGGGGGCGTGTCCTGTACGCGATCCCCGCCCCCGTGTGGGCGTGGCCGTGCCGCTCTCGCGATCTCTCGCGATACCCGTTCGAACGGACGGCGGGCGGGTTCCCCTCAGAGCGCCCGGCCCGGCCCCGCGATGCCGCTGCAGCCGCGGCTGCTCCGCACCTACTCCCGGCGCGCCGGCTACCTGCGCCCGCTGCCGCCGCCCGACCGATGGATCTCGCCGCCGCAGGACCGCAAGCGGCTTTTCAGCTCCACCACCTCCAGCGCCGCCTCMGCCGCCTCCAGCGCCCTCTCCGCCTCCAGCGCCGCCTCCCCGCCCTCGGACGACCCCGAGTTCTTGCCGCCCGCCAAGCAGCGCTCGAAGGCCCCGGGTAAGCGCCCCGCCTTGGCCAGGCGCCTGCGGACCCGTAAAAAGGAGAACCGGGAGCCGGCCGGGAAGGAGAACCGGGAGCCGGCGGGGAAGGAGACCCGGGGCCGAGGGAAGGAGAACCGGGAGCCGGCGGGGAAGGAGACCCGGGGCCGAGGGAAGGAGAAGTGGAGCCGGAAGAAAGAGCCGCGGGGCCGGAGAGAGGAGCCGCCGTCCCTCTCCGCGCCCTCCTTGTCGCCGTCCCCGCCGCGCGGTTCGCGGAGCCGCCGGCAGGGCCCGCTGTGCGCGGCGCGGCGGCCGCTGCTGTGCAGCACCCCGCAATGGGCCTCGCAGCCCCGCCGCGCCGCCCTGCCCGCCCTCGGGCCGCCCGTGCTGCTCAGCTCCACCGCCGACAGCGGCTCGGCCTTCGAGGACAGCCCCCGGCCCCGCCGCCGCCGCCGCCGGCCCGGCCCGCCCGTGCGGCTCAGCTCGCTGCTGCTCAGCACCACCATCGAGAGCGGCTCGGAGCTGGAGGAGCCCGAGGAGTGCTCCGGGCAGCGCCCGTCGCTGCTGCGCGCTGGGGAGGAGGTGCCTGAGTGGTTCCGACCAAAAGGCACGGCTGGGAGCTGTGAGCCCGAGCCGGGGCTGCGGGGCTCCCGCCGTGTTCTGAGGTCGTCGGCGCGGGGATCCTGCCGGGCACAAGCTCCCCCGTCCCCCCAGAAAATCCCAAGCCCTCCCCAGGCAATGCTGCCGCTCACTGAGGGTGAGGGTCAGCCACAGCCCCCTGCACCCTGTGGCAGTGCCACTCGTGGGGAACCCTGTGAGGTTCCATCTCTCATGAGAGATTCCGCAAAAAGAAGCTCGAGCTRTCACAGAGACCTAGCCAAGGAATACCAGCTTGTGCCAGTGGTGGTCCTGGACCCTCTGGAAGTGGCAGTGAGGTTGAAGAGCATGAAACTCAACAAAGAGGCTGATGTTCAACCTGCCTGGCAGCAGCCAGCATCTCCCGTGGGCTGCCAAGGGTTCTTGGAGAACACACACAAAAGGACCAAGGGTGTCCCTGCGGAGGGCAGCACTTGCAGGAAAGCTTGTATCAGTGGCTTCAGTGCCAGCCGCTGGGGCAAGCACACGAGGCTCCGGACAAAAAAGCACAAGAACAAGAGACAGCAGCAGCCCAATAACTCGTTTTTCAGACCCCAGGTGAGGCAAAAACGAGCTCGGAAGGGTGCTCTGGAAATGTCTGTAGATGTAAGAGACTATTCACTCCGCAACAGCTCTTATTCCTGGGCTAGAGTTCGAGCATCTCTGTCCTTCCATAAAAAGAAGAAAGTGACCACAGATGAGAGTTTCTGCAACAGCATCCTCTATACCCCTTCAGGGAAATCCCAGCTTTCGGGGTCCCAAGCCAGCCTGTCTGCTGGTAAAGCTCTGGGCTCCTCCTGGATTKCTTCCTCCATGGTCCTGCTGGCCCCCAGGGATTCCTGTTCTGCCCTGGAGCTGCTCCTTACAGATGCCGAGAAGGTGTTTGGGGAGTGCAACCAGGAAGGGCCAATTACTTTTGAGGAATGCATTCCTTTAGATAAGATGAAAGATTGCAAGAAAATTGGAGAAGGGGTGTTTGGAGAGGTGTTCCAGATTGACAGCGAGAGAGGACCTGCGGCCTTAAAAATAATTCCCATTGAGGGGACTGAAAAAGTGAATGGTGAAAATCAGAAGAGCTTTGGGGAGGTTTTGCCTGAGGTTATAATTTCAAAAGAACTCAGTCTTCTGTCTGAGGGCTCTGTGAACARAACTGTGGGGTTCATCAGCGTGTACTCTGTGCACTGCGTCCAAGGGGCCTATCCCAGGTATCTCCTGGAAGCCTGGGACAAATTCCACAAAGAAAGAGGATCACAAAACGACCGGCCAGACCTTTTTGGGGACCAGCARCTCTTCATGGTTCTGGAGTTTGAATTTGGAGGCGAGGACTTGGAGCACATGAGAAGCAGCTTCTCCTCGGTGGTGTCAGCGAAAAGCATTTTACACCAGGTCACCGCRTCCCTGGCGGTGGCAGAGCAGGAGCTGCACTTCGAGCACAGGGACCTGCACTGGGGSAACGTGCTGGTCAAAAGGACAGACGTGAGGACGCTGCAGTAYGTGCTGGATGGGGCAACACACACCATCCCCACTGCAGGGATCCACGTCAACATCATCGACTACACCCTGTCCCGCCTGGAGAAGGATGGCTTAACCGTGTTCTGYGACATTTCCACCGACGAGGAGCTCTTCCAAGGTGCTGGGGATTACCAGTTTGACATCTACAGGCAGATGAAAGAGGAGAACTCCAACAGCTGGGGTGACTATCACCCGCACAGCAACGTCCTCTGGCTGCACTATTTGGCTGATAAACTTTTGAATGCCATTAGTTACAAGACAAAAAAAMCAACTTCTTCCATGAAGAAAATAAAGATGCAGCTCACCAAGTTCCACAAGGAAGTGCTGACCTTTGAGTCTGCCCAYGACGTTCTGCACCACAGCAGCCTCTTCCAGTGAGCAGGGGTCCAAGGATTAAGCTACTGGTGCTGCCTTTCTCCTCTACTTTTTGTATGTGTTGGCACAATGAAGTGTGATGATTGGTTCTCAATGTGTACAATACAAATATTGAAAATGTCCTAAAAAATCCCCCCCCCAATGTCTTCTGCCCTGTTTCCATATCTACTGTTTTTTGAAGCATGTTGGAGGGGAGAGAACAGAAAACAGAGCTGGATTTGGAGGAAGGAGGGGAAAAAAGACTTCTTCAGGCTCAATGCTCTGAATTTCACATACATTTTCTTACTATTTTAGCCTTAGATTATTAAAAGTTCTTTTTTTTTTTTACTGTATTGTCTTTCTTACAAATTCTTTTTTTAAAGGAAAAAGCCTTTCGGTTCTGAACAGTGGGGACAAGGGTAAATATTGTTGGTTCACTGAAGACAGAGGGGAAATCCCACCCTTTGATTTAATTCTGGCAAAAWTTGTACCTGTAATGATAGTACACAATGTAAATATGTCAAGTTTCTGTARAGGGTTTAAAGCCCACTAATCTGTGTTTTCCCCTTTTCTTAAGGACCAAGGAAGWGGTACCTGATTGTGAAAAAATAAGACAAAGTACCTGTGTTCCTGAATTTTGATGGTTATGATGTTGTGTCCTTGTATTCTGATAGGAACTCAAATTTGTAACCTGATGGTGGCACTGAAGCCATTTCTCCATTTTTCTGCAGAAGAAAATGCACGAGGTGATAAATGTTCTTTAGCCCTGTCTGCACATGGCCCAGGTGCCCTAAACTGGAAGCTGTCCTTACATTAAATCCCAATTCCCTGTTTTCAAGAAGTCCTTTTCTAACATTCCTTTTTAATAAAGAAACTGGGCTAAAGAGAGTAATAAATCAAGCAAAAGTGAAATGTGAATTGAATTACTATCCAATGACACAAATGCATTAAGAAATTGAGAGGCAGCATCATTGAATTCTTTATAGCTGGAATGCTCTCTGTGCAGTCTAATAAATAAATATTGTAAATGTGCATCTCAAGGATGCATCTTTGAGTCTCTCCTGAAATCTCCTTTTTACAAATTCCACAAGGAGACCTTGGGATGGTTTTATTGTTCTGCCTTCCAGACACTGCAGAAAGTGACCTGAAAATCTGCAGTGCTTCAAATTATGAAGATGGAAATTGTGCTGGAATCTTCCCAGGCATCCTCTCACCTTTTTTTTTCCTCTAATTGAATAAAGTAATGCACTGTAATTGAATAGTCTTAAAACCCACTTGGTAAGGCCTGCAGTGAATGCTTATCTGACATCAAGGAGTGTTCCTCAGTCACAATGGTGCTAATTTCATTAATGTTTAAAAAAAAAAAAGATGGATGAAACCACGTTATTTTTACCTCTCTTGGTCTTTTGTTTCTGTGGTTTGAGAGCTGATTTTGGCTGTGCAGGAGGGATGGGACAGCAGCAGGAATAAACGCCAGGAGAGGTGACACMCCCCAGGGGGACATGGTGCAGCAACGCTGAAGATTCTGAAAGCTGAAACCTTGAAATGTTTCCCTGCAAGCCAATTTGCTGATTTGTGAACAGGTAGTAATTTTCATTAATCAAAATGTAAAGCTTTTACCTCTTACAAAACTGGACATTAAATTAATATAGAAATCTTTGCCTTAAACTGTGCTTGCAAGGAAGTGCAGCTGCCAGAGCTGAGCCCTCATTTCCTTTTTAAAGATTCTCTCTGATTAAAAAAATACAGAAAAAATGCTGTGTACTAATCAGCCCTCATAAATTTTAATGGGAGGATGGTGACAAAAAGGGAATTGGAATAGTAAATTTCCCCTAATCAAGTAAAATGCCCTGAGCATATGTTTTCATCTGAGTGAAAGCTTTACTTGGAACAGAGCTGGGTTATATATTTTAAAGATCTGTTCTCCTTGCTGAGGAAGGAGGGTGCCAGAACCCATTTTGCCCCTCTAGAAAAGTTTTTTAATGCACACTGCAGCTAAATTAGGGCTTAAAGGGTGCTCCATCTTTTACTGAAATAAGGAAGTTTGAGCAAAGCTAAAATTATCCTGTGAGAGGGAAAGATWTTTCACACTGATCCAAAGGCTTTAGGAGGCTGAAAGAATCAAGCCTAGTTTTGTGAACTGGCGAGTCAGATGGATTCCAGGTAGGAATTCTGGTGTTTCCAGGTCACTGGATTTTGTGGTGATCTCAAATCTCAAATTTTTATCCTATTTTGATGGAAAAGACTGATAAAATACAGACTACCCTGTGAATACGCTGTAACTTACCAGGATACTGTTACAATATGTAATTTTTGCTCATTCCTTTCTGGAAAACTGATACATTAAATGCAGGAATATGAAAATTCTCTCTCGACTTGAGAAGCTGCACTCCAGCCATGAGCTGAATGAGAGGGAAGAGCAGCTCTGGCCTCGGTGTAGAGAGACAGGATGAAGAACAGTTACTCAGAGTATCATTCAGAGGCAGGAAAAAGGGAAAAATTGCAATTTCTGCCCAATTCTRCAGTTGCAAACTGAAGCAGTTAATGGTGCTGGTTGGCCACAGTGCCCAGCAGAGGAGAGGAGGCTGCCAAGGGAGCAGGAATTCTCCTTAGAGCTGAATAAAAACAGACTGGGAAATGCAACTYAGCCTGGGACTGCTCCCATAAAACAAATTAGGTACAAATAGCCCAATAAAAGCTTGAGAGTCTTAAATCAGATAAATCCAGTATTTAGGCTCTGCTCCTAACAAGTGAAATGCTCTTTCCCTTCCCTGGAGCTCATTGCAAGGTTTGTTTAGGTAGTAAATCACTTGGTGGCTGTGCTGGGTTTCCTCTCAGCAGTTTGCTGAGAGCTGTGGGGCTGTTCTACAAACTCACCTCGATTGGCACCTTCCTCAAATGTAGATTTTTGGGRTAGTTCAGGACCAGAGCTGTCACACAGAGTCATCACCATCTGTCATGGTCACKTCAGTGTGGCCCCCACTGATTCCTTCCTGAGAGCAGACAGAAAAAGGGTCTTTATTTAAAGAGAGCATCCTGGAGCATCCCGGTTTTTGGAATTTGGGGGAATTTCTCCCTCCAAATGCTTTCACACACAGGATAATGCAACAGCCCGATYAATTATTCAATGCTCATCAGGAAAATGCTTCCTTTTCAATATCAAARGCTGACAGCTCCATGCTTTGTGTAGCATTTTATCATTCAAGGCTGACTGCAAGCACTGTTCCACTTGATCAGCTCCTCAGTCAATCTCCAGGCTGGATTTTCACAATGAAGTGATGCCTTTTGTTTTATGTGACCTGAGCTGCTCTGCTGTAGTGCTGTGCTGTTCATCTGCTCATAATGAAATGCCAGAATTGGGATTTTTTTAGGATGATTATTRTTGTTTAAACCTTGTCTCTGAGATTTCCTGGGGCACAGATAAAGCACTGGGCCAGCTTAGGGSCACAGCTTTGTAGAGATGAGATCTCTTCTTTTTTCCACTCACCAATAAATATCTCCTGTCTGTAGCTGATGTTTCTGGAGAAGTTCAATGATAATTAACAATTAAGATATTGTGTGCAGAAGTACTAAGCAGTGCTGACCAGCACTCCAGAATCTCATGAATTATTCTTAGGAAATAAATGTACCATCAACATCAGAATCCCCGAGGGCACTGCAGCTACAGTCATTAGTGTTCTTTACTGCTCAGGGCTGAATGTTGTCCTCACTTCTGTGTACTTTATGAACACCTAATTAAATATTTAATCGTGGTGAAGACTCCTAATTGCTACTAAAGCAGCAACGCATTTCAACTCGACCAGAATTCCCAGTTTTTACCTTGCCAAGGCACTGGTAATGCTCAGATGGTATCAAAACACCATTTTGTTGCAACAATGCTGTTATTTTGGAAAATTAGGATCCTCTCATGCTGGTGAGACAGGGGACAGCTGGTCTTGAGTTAGTGAAGAACAGATAAGGAACTGAATCAAATATAAATTTTGGAGCTGAAATATTACAGAAAAACGTTTTAAGGAAGCCTGGCAGCAAGAACAAGAACTGCTCAGTRTTTCCATGCTGTGTCACCTGGACCAGGCTGGCCTATTTACAGAAGTTCCACTTTCTGCTGGGAATGTTCAGAACACACAAAATCCCAAGAGCCTGAAGGAGCAGGCAGCCAAAATACACCAATATGGGCAGAGCTTCAGAATTAAACATGGTATTTATGTTTCCATTAGATAAACACGTTATCTATCCAATTCTTTATCTAGAATTTGTTTTCAAACACAAAATGCAAGGAGAAAATCAAACCCATCTGCCTTGCCTCAGCYTTTGTGAGCCCCACAGGTCGCTCAGCTGCCAGGAGTCTGATTGAAAATGAGGGAGAGTTTGTAAATAGATTATTTTTTGTCTAAATAACTTAAATTATCACTGCTGATCTGCAGACATCAAGGTSTTCTGAGCCCTACATCTGTGTTAAATCATGTTCACTATCTCCCACTTGTTCRAAGTTTTAGACATACAAAGGCAAAAGCCTTTGCAATTTGGACTGAAGGGTTTATATTTTAGATAATTTCTAGCACTGGGAAAGATTTTTTTATATGTCCCTCTGATGCTGAATTAAAAATAGAATAATGACACATTGCATGGAACACAGATTCTATATTTGTCATTGAAGCATTTCCCCAGCACACTAAAAAATAGCATTTATTACCTACCAGAGCACAACCACGTCCTCCAGAGATGCTGCAATGTCCTGGAGACCATCAGGGCATTCAAAACCACCATCAAGGATTGTCCTAAGAAGAGGTCACCTGTACAGTGAAGTGACTTTTCCAGGTGAATCAACCTAAAAACATCAGAGGAGGATTTATAGCAACTGCAGTATGAGTAGCTCTTGCATTTAAAAATATAAAACAAATCTTCCTGCGCAGTCTTTTCTTAAATGAACAGCAACGAGGGGGTTCCCAGGCTGCTGCAGAGCAGAATCCATCCCTGGCCTCACCCTGTGACAGGAATGAGCCACGAGAGGGTGCCCGTTGTGTGAATCCTGATGTGCCCAGRCTGTGGCTTCTGCTCCCAACCACCCTGAGCCAATTCCAGCAGTGCCCCGTGTCCAAAATGACACATCAGCTTTTATTCCTAGTATTGGGTTGGGGATCTCTCACAAAACTCTTGTTTGCTGCATGTCCCAGTTTTAGCAGCTCCCCAACAGGTGTGTGTTGGACAGGAGTGCCTGGCARGGCAAGGGCTGCACCAACAAATTCCTGCACACAGGCAAAAATCAGGATTTTACCACACTGGGATACAAGCACACCTTAGGGACTGAATAACTACATTTCTTTATTTCTCTCTTATTTTCTACCGAGGCAGGAGCGCTGGCTGCAGCCCGCAGTCCTCTACCATACAGGGAGAGCACATCCAGCAGGGAGCACAAAGCAGGAATGTTTGATTTGTCACTGCTTAGGCATGRTTGGAAAATCCCCAGCGCCCAGTGTTTACGCTGCCAGTGTTTTCACCTCTGTCTCCAGGCGATGGACGTAAACCCTCCAGCACCATCAAACGGAGCTCCAGCCGGGGCAGCATCTGTCAGCCCATCAGGCTTCACATCCAGAGCTCAGATCCCAAAAAAGCCCCAACCTGTGCTCCAGAAGGAGACGAGCAGCCCTTTCGCTGGAATTCTCTATATATAGCTTTGGAGAATTAGCGTCCTTTGCAGCACGAAGGGCAATTTTTAGAACAAAACATGGCATATCTACTTATATGTGGATCAGTTCCTATTATTTATTTTATTCCAGCCATCCTCAGGGACAGATCCTGTAACCGGTTTAGCAGCAACAAGATCATTATTCAACCGTCTGRCAGCGGAAAAAGGAACGGCACAGCTGGCGACCTCCCTCCCTGGGACCCATGAGAGTGGAACAGAAATACAGCACAGRCCATTTGGCTGAATTTTTTTCCCAGTCTTTGTCCAAATTTTATGATTCTTTCCAATGTGTTTGCTGCAGAGGTGAAACACTGCAAGATGGAAGGGATGAACAGAAGAAAATCRCCTCTGGCACTCTGGAAAATTCATTCTTACCCTGATGGGTCAAGGGTTTAATCCAGAGGACTCCAAAAAATAAGAGGTGTTGTTTTTTTTTTTTTCCTGCAATTGTGGACTCCGTGACTTGTGTGTTGGAGAAGTGAACACCAGCAAAACCAACACTGTCAACTGGAAAAAGCCCTTCTGTCCACTCCTCTTTGCCCAGAAAGTTTCAATTTCCCAAAAATTCTCAGCAAAGAGTGCAAAAAATCTCATGGGCACTTCCTAGCTGCCTCCAACTCTGTGTGTTTAACATTTGACAGCCAATYCTCACAGTCCAGAAATGCTGCAGCYCTCCCCATCTCACAAACCTGAACTGAAATCAAAGATTATGGCAAAAGAGGAAGCAAAAAAATCCCCCTTTTGCACTCAGCTTTAGTAACAGTTCTGTGCCAGCCACAAGGCAGCCACAGTCACATCTTTCTGAGCCTCTGCCTGGCCCTGTCTGGTTTTTTTCCTCTGTTTGGTTTTTGGTGGTTTTTTTGTTTTTTTGTTTTTTTGTTTTTTTTGTGCTGCTGAAGCAGATACGAAGTTGCAAAGCGGAAGTTTTCTTTCAAAACACTTTTTTTTTCCTCCCCCGCAATTAAATTTTTCTTTTAGTCCCAGAGCAAGAAATGAAATTTCTTAAGCACAGCAAAGCTCAGCGCTGTGCTTAAGAAATTAAGCCCCAGGAAGAGCCCAGATGCAAAATCCACCAGCTGCAGCCCTTCAGCCCCAGCCCTAGGACTCTCACAAAGCATCTGGACTTTGTCGGGTTCCTGGGGCTGTCACATTTCAAAGGCTCCCTCTGCGAGCTCCAGAGGCAATGGAAAGTATGTTCAGTCGCAAGTGGGGTCACAGGCAGATGGAGAGAGAGGGAATCAGCTCGTGGATGCAGCTCCCTGCACTGCCTCAGAGCAGCCTTTGGAAAAACTGGGAGGTATAAAAAAAAAATAAAAAACAAACAAAAAAACAAAAAAAAACCAAAAAAACCAAACAAAAACAAAAACAAAACAAAACAAAACAAAACAAAAAACCAAAAAAAACCAAACAAAATAACCCCAAAAAAACACAAAAAAACCCAAAAACAAAACAAAACAAAAAAAAACATGGGCAAAGTACCTGAGGAACAAGGAAAGCTTGATTTCACCTCTACCCCTGAGAGAAACGGCCTTGTGGGGAGTTGGGAACCACACAGAGCAGAGATGGAGTTTGTCTCAGGAAAATTGCACGGATGAGCTGTGAGTGAGGGGGGAAGTGCTCGGAGCTTGCAGAGAAGGAACAGAGAGGACCAGGCAAAGTGAGCTGGGAAAAGGAGGAGTTTGGATACCCAAAGTTCATCTCCCACCCTGCCAGGAGCCAAGGAACTCTGAGCAAAGCACACCCAGAGGGTCTGAGCATCCCTGAAGCGTTTGAGAAGCGTTGGGAGCTGCTGATGCTTTCTCAGGGTGTGGCTGAGCCTCCAGAGCTGCTGTGGTTCAGACAGAGGAAGGGAACTGCAGCTGCTCCTCCACTGCCATTTGGGAGAGGTTTTTTCTGTTCTGTCAGAGCCCTGCCCTGCCTCCCCCTCTCCCAGGAAGGGATTCTCACTCAGGGGTTACCTGGCACAGTTCAGCTGTTGGTAAGTTCTTGTGTGAATGACTGAAGGCTTTCCTGACAAAACAGCATCAAGAGTGGACCCCAAAATTCCCCACCATCCTTTATCCACGAGACTGGGAATCTCTGGGAATGCCAAGSACATTTGTGATGCAGATCAAAAGAGAAATTAGTGCTGCCAAGCTCAAAAAGAAGCAGCAGGATGGAGGAGAGGCTGAAGAGGAAGGAGATGCTGAAAGCTGCCAGCACCCACAGCTTCCCCAAAACCAGCAGCAAGGTCATTTATCAAGGCTGCAGGCTGCCAGGGGTGGCAGATCTGATCCTGCATTTCTTTAGGATCTCAACGTGTCCCTGCCACGGCAAAGCCCTGAGCACAGTGATAGATTTATCATTTGCCTTCCGTGCAAAAGGAGCACCTTGCCAAATCTTGGGAACACTTAGGACAGAGCCATAGATGGAAAAAGCAGCTGAAGGCTTCACAAAGCAAGGAAACAGCAGAAGCTGGAGCAAGAAAAGTYAGTTCCCACTCAGTGAGGTGAGGCTGGAGGGGGAATTGCCCAGCACTGGGGGAAGAGCACACTGAAGTGCAAGGAATAAKTTTTAAAACAAAACTTTGCTGCCAGTCACGTGCAGAGAGGATGGTGATGATGGACTCCAAAAGAAAAACCTCCAGGCCTCAYTCTGTCAGAGTGGAATTGAGACAGAACTCAGGTTGCACTGTTCATCCTGCTGAAGGAAAGATGCTTCCAAACCTTTCTGAATTTTCCCTGGGATTCTCACCAACCTTTCCCTGGACTGGAGGGTAAATCCAGTGCAGCTCAGATGTGGCTGCACAAACTGACACGAGGCCGTGAAAAACAAGAGTTAACTCACACAGCACTAATCAGCAATCTGATAAAACATTATATCCACACTGATAAAGCCCTCTCTCCCTTTCTGAGAAAGGCAGAAGCTCTAAAAATATACCCAAAGATGAACATTTTCAATTAAGTACACTTGCTGTATTGTTTACAGAAATATTACATATTATTACTGTTAAATAGAGTGAAAATTGAGACAGCTCATTTTTATCTCTTTCCCACARAGTTTACAGCAGGCTGCCCCTCCTGCCTGAGGCAGGGTGCACGTCACAAAAAGTGATGAGGTTCTTTTGCAAACGTTTGCAGCRAGACAGGAAATAAAAAACCACACAGAGAGGGTTGGCCCACAGGATCYTGCTGCTGTTTGTTACAGAGACTGTGAGAAACAGAGCTCCCAGAAATCCACCACGTGAAGGTCCAGCTCCAGGAAATCCACATCACTTTAGGCAAACGTGCAAAGAATTTCATTCTAAAAGTGTAAAAAGGGGAAATCCTGATGTGGAGAAACCACGGAGTGCTGCAGGAGCTGCCACAGAGCACACGGTGAGGATTTGTCCTCTCACATCTCACACCAGCAGGGCTTTGCACAGAGAGAGACAACTCCACCCTCAGCAGCTTTTTTATGACTCTACAACACCCTTTATTCCAAAGCAGTCCCTTGTGACAAAAGAATTCCAAGAGTTTTGTCCCTGCACAGCTCGGAGAGCTCTGCCTTCCCCACTGCCCCGGSAGCTCGCTCTCCCAACTGCATCTTTACACAAAGTAATAAGAAAGGTGTCAAGGCAGAGAAATTCGAGTAAAAACAAGTTTCTTCAGAGGAAACCAATCATTAAAGTGCATGACAACATTTGAAGCCACAGTCTGAAGCTCAGTCCTCCACGAAATGCACTCTGATCCTGCAAAGCTTTCAATTCCTCCCGCTGCTAGAGGAAGAACTGCTCCTATGAGGATGGAGGCGAGGTTTGCAGTGGAGAAAACATTTCAGAGTTGTCTGCTTTGTCCCTGCAGAGGCACCATCTCGGTGGCTGCTGGCTGGGGATGCAGCAGGGATTGCTCCTCTGAAGCTGCTCGGGGTGGGTTCTGGGGTGGCCGCTTCCAGGACCTGGTGTCTGCAGCAGGGGACAGCAGAGCAGCCCTCCATCAGCAGGAAGCTGACAAAGGGAGCCAGGTTTAGGATGATGAAGGTTCAGGGGACACCAAACACACACCACAGAGTGTTTTAAACATTGCAACATCCCCAGTCCCGGAAAAAAAAGCACCCTGGAAGGATCTGCACTGGAGGTTGTGTCCAAATCCACTGAGATTCTGCCCAGGAGAACAAGAACTGGACAAAATCTTTCTAAACAAATTACAGCTCTGTTTTCCAGAGTTTTCTCCCAGGTTTACCAAGGGGAACAAACAGAACAATCTCAGGCAGGATCTGACCATGCTCCCAGAGTTAATGCTCATTTTCATGCTCTAAAAGCTCTGATTTTAACGTGTGCAGGAGGAATGGGCCTAAATTTCACATTTGCCAGGAAAAGCATCGCATATTTGGGCTATTGAGCCAARAKRAAGAGCAGCCTTTGCTTTTCCTCAGCAGCTTTTCCTGCCCATTTCTCCCACATCTCATCTCCTTCATCCTCAGTGTGTTCCCAAACTCTGGCCAGCTCCARATCTACACTAAATCTGTATTTTCTTAGCTCCCAAAGATGCTGCTGCTCTGGGGGAATGCAGTGGGGAAGCAATGTCAGSCTGATCTGCCTGAAATTCTGTTGCCAAAGACACAACAACCTGGCAGGAGCAGCTGCTGAGCAGGAAGCTAAAAAGGCTCTGCAGACCTTTCTTGGTGATTTAATTTACCTTCTGGATTTATTTCTGAATCGCTGGTGTTTCCAGGGTCTTCCTTCAGCACTCCCACATCCTTTGCCCAATCTGTCCATTTAATTTCCTCCACTCTGGAGAGACAAAATGCAACAAGACACTGATGCCTGGAATGCAGCATTCCAAGCCAGATCTCGCTGTCCTGCAGCCTCCCAGCCCAGCTCATCCTGCCAACACCACCCCAATGGTTTGGCTGTAGCCAACAGCACCTCACAGAGCTTTTTTTTTTTTTTTTGAGTAAAAATTCTTCTGTAATCTAAAAATATATTTTCTCCCCCTGCATATTGCCCACTGGTCTGTTGGGTTTTAAACCCTTCAGTTCAGGGAATGTTTTTAATCCAAAGGTGATAATCAGCTCTCAAACCTCCAGCCTGGCAATCCCCAGCAAATGTGAATGTAGCCAGGAATGTGGGTGCTGAAATTCCCCGTGGTGGTCCAGGGTTCCCAGGCTGTGACCCCTCTGCCCAGCTGGAGTGTGAGGGGGAATTGAGCATCTGTTCTTACCTGAAACACCACCTCTCATCTTTCTTATTGAGCCCCACTGACATGAAGCAGCCAGATCTCCTCTTYCCCCCCTGGCGCCACAGCCAGGCCTTTTCTATCTCCAGAATAGCAATGGCCCTCTGAAAGAACAAAACCACGTCAGACATGAGCCAGGGCACACACAGAGCCCAGCCCAGACTTCCCATTCCATCTCCCCCACTCAGATTTAGGGGATCACAACCCCAAAGTGCTCCTCAAGGTTCCAACCACTGCCCCACATCACCTCGTGCAAAGAGAGCGCAAATATACCCAAAAATGATATCACAATTTGCTGTAAAATGCACATTCATGGCTGAACTCAGCACAGGCACTGCCCCCTGTGACTCTGAGAGACCCCAGCAGGATTTTGTGCCTCACCTGCAGCTTCCAGACGCTCTTGCTGTAGGCGGAGATGTCGGTGACCGTCTCGCTCATGAGGGCGATCAGCATGTTGAGCAGCAGGATGTAGGTGAGGATGACAAACAGCAGCAGCAGCAGCATCACAAAGTACCTGAAGCGGGCGTGCTCYTGGAAATCCAGGTCTCCCATGCCGATGGTGATCTTGAAGAGCTCCAGGGAGACGCTGAGCAGCCCCCCGTACATGGCGTGGCTGCCGGGGCTCTCGGGCTGAGCCAGGGATTTGTTGTGGGACACCGAGGGGGCATCGCCCATCAGCGTCACCAGAGCTGCGGGAAAAACACCGGGTGAGCCTCGGGAAAGTGCTCTGACTGAGCTCACACACAACTGAGAGAGGGAGGGCTCACCCGCAGCAAAGCCGAAGAGGAAGATCATGTACACCAGGAGGAAGCGCAGCAGGTCCCTCATGATGGTCTGGAACACAAACCAGGCTGTTCTTGTTTCACGTGGAAGCACCAGRATGATCCTCTGTGCTCACACATCACAAACCAAGCCCCAGGAACAACACTGACAGCGAGCTTTCCACCTTTTATCCAGTTTAAGAAACTTCTAATAGATGTTAAATACTTCCACAAGTTAAGTCATATCTTTCGCAGCTTAATCTGACAGTTTCACATGAACTTATTTGTTGCTACACTTGTATGAACAGATTTTTGAAACAAATTAATGTCCTGTTGGCTCCCCAGCATGGCTGATTCCAAATTGTTTCAACACACATCCCTCTCCTAACCCTAACCCTAACCCTCTCCTTTCCATCTCCATTGGCTTTACACAAATGCTGATCAGAACTCTTCCCTGGCACCTCATTTCACCTCTGCTCTGTTTTTCTGGTTCCAGACTCCTCCATAGACCTGGAAACACTTCTCAGCCAAGTTGAGCAGTTCCAGGGAGCTCAGGCTGGTTTTGGATTAGTTTATGACACCCTGCTGTCACCTGGGGTGTTCAGTGACAGCAAACRAGCAGTTTGCTGCAATTGTAATTGAAGATACTGATCTCACCTCTTTCTGCAACAACTCTGCTTCACCAGGACACCAATTCCAGCTCCTCACACCCCAAAATCTTTCCCTGCAGGGTTTTTTTTCCCCCAGCACTGACCTTCTGGATCATGACGCTGTAGATGCCGGTGCGCTGGAAGCCRCGGGTGTAGTAGAGGGTGTTCACCCATCCCAGCAGCAGTGAGAACACCATCACTGCCACATAATTCTCCGAGCTGGCTCCGTACAGCACCGCTGACAGCAGCAGGGAGAAGGCCTGGATGAAGCTRAACAGGGACAAAATGCAGTGACAGGGGCTCAGCTCAGCTAAAAGAGCCCTTGCGATGAAAAACATTTGAGAAGGTTATAAAGGATGAGGATGAGATGAAGGTTTAGGGCAAGAGGCAGCAGAGGAGGAAGGAGTGGCAGAGGATTTGTGTTTTCTGCTCCCCAGCAATGTTTGGGCATCTCAGCTGCACACACAGAAGCAATTCTGAGCTGTGGCTGTGCCAAAACCCCCCAGGACCTACATGAGGATCTCGATGCAGCTGTCAGAGCACATGGTCTTCAGGGACTGGCGCCTCCTCCGCAGGTACAGGCTCTGCCAGAGGAAATCCATTCATCATTCAGCAGAAAAGGGGCCATTCATCACCAAAAACACAGCATGTGACAGAGGGACCCTGCCCAGCACAGCCCATAGCTCAGGGCAAGCTTGGCTCTGTGTGMTCCTGYTTTATCTTCAAGATCCCCAGTTCCATCCCTCCCAGATGAAAAAAAGGCCTTTTTTATAAAGGGCAAAGATAAACAAGGGCTGAATCACGGCTCAGCCCCACATCTTTATTAATAGCWGCATTAAATGCCAGGGAGGCATTTTAACAGCATAAATCACAGGATTCTCTCAGAATTAAGTGCTATTGTGGAACCACAGTTCCCCTCACCCACCAACCTGGCTCGGGCTGTCCCTGTGGTTGACACTGAGTGTCTCAGAGCAGGATTCCCTCCTGCACATCCCCATCTGAAGCTGCTGCCTCCACACCAGTGCTTCCTTTTCCTTCCCTGCCTGACAACAAAATCAGACAGGAGGTGCCCYTACCTGAGCAAAGATCAGATAAATGCCTCCCAACAAGATAATGATCAGTCCAGAGACCCACAGGAATCCTCCAGCTGTGAGTTCCACTGGAAAGGAAGGCTGCAAGACAAAACCAGGACAGGCAGAGGCAGTGATGATAAACACCCACAACTTTTAAACTCTGCTCCATCCATTCAGGCTTTTCAGATAAAAAAAACTGGACCTACCTTTACCCTTAATGGTTGATAGTATGCAATGGCTGTGAAGATGATCATGAACGACAAGTAGGAGGCAAAGCTGAAGTAGAATCTCTTGGAAGCAAAGGTTTCCCATTTTTGCTGAAGGAGTTTGTTCAGTGGCTCCAAAACCACCATCTTGTACCGGTTCTGTGGGGGGAAAAAAACAACAAAAATGCACCTGTGTGTCMACAGGAATGGGAATTCACCAGAGGATTGTTCTTTTTAAGGGTTGGAGCTGTGTGGCTTCTGCTGGGGAGTCATTTAAGAGACTGTTCAGTCAGGCTGAAAGATGAAAGGTATCAACCATTGCACAGAAATCCCTTCATCAAAGTATTTGCACAAACCAAATCAAAATTTCTCTCAAATTATGGATGATCACACKGAATAACAAAATCTGCAAACATTCCCATGAAACATTTCTTTTTTCCAGAGAAATTATCACCCGAAACTTCACATTGACTTGAAATTATTTGCATAATTACACAGCAACACCACACAAGGACAGGAAAAAAAGGGAACTGGGGTTCTGGTGAGAGCCTCACCGGGGTGTCACTGCTGTAGGCCAGGATCTCCAGCACAGAATTCTCCTCGAAGCTGTCCAGGGAGGACAGGTCATAGAGGGACACGTGGATGGGGCCGTAGGTCCACTCGGTGAACTTGCGGGACAGGTGCCGGTACACGGGGTCCTTGATCTCCCTCTGGATGATGTGCCTGAAGATCTGACACACAGAGAGGGCACAGAGCAATGATCCTGGGGTGAAGGTGCAGAAAGGCACCCAAAGCACCTCCCCATGCAGCACATCTGGGTTTGGGCCTTATCAACACCTGGACCTGGCTCAAAGCAGGGAATCAAACACATCTGGCTGCCCCAGGAGCTCCAGGGCAGGGACAGCAGCAGCAGCTGAGGCTCTGCAGGACACCACAAGTGACTCAGAGACGCCCTCCTTTACTGTCCCCTGTGTCACTGCCCCATCAGGGGTTGGGTATGAGCTGCTCCGACCCCAAACCCCATTGGCACACCCCAAGTGTTACCCCTCCCCAGCTCCTCTGCTCATCCCCACCTCCACTTTGCCCGTCTTGGCAGCGAGCTGCAGAGGGTTCAGCCCATCATAATTGACAATCTCCTCCAGTTTGCAGGCGGGGTCGAGCTTCACGCCCGCCTTGAGCAGCKCCACGTAGGTGGTGCTGACGAAGTTGGTGTTGTCCTCGGTGTCRTCGGCGATCATCACCAGGGCGTGCAGCACCGTGTTGCCCTGCGTGTCCTGCTCCTGCAGCCTGGCTTTCTGGTGGGGGTTGGTGAGCAGATAATCCACCACATCCAGCTGGTTGGTGCAGGCAGCCAAGGACAGGGGGAGTTCACCTGGAGAGATCGGGACGCGGCGTTTGGAAGGGAGGCAGAAACGGTGAAAAAAGATTAAAGAAAGAGTAAAAGAGCAATCCTAGGAAAATATATTTAGTGTGGAGTTTTACCACGGAAACACAGAAGTTCTTCCTCAGTGTCTCTAGATTCAGAAAGGGTTTTATAATCAATAATTACTCTGTTTCTGGGGGCAGCTGAAACACATTCCCAGATCTGCACTCCAGAATAACCAAGGATTGCTCTTTGTCTGAAGCCACCCAGACAGGATTAAACCCATAAATTCAAAGATGGAAATGCTCAATGGGCASCCCAGATGAGATCCTGCCATTTAAATCATCAAGGGCTGGATTAAAGGACCCTGAAGATGGCACAGAAGGGAAAACCCMACTGGAATTAGTGGCACCACACACAGCAGGGCAATAAAAACCCCAGAGGAACATATTAGACACCGACTCACCAAAATAAAAGTAAACTCCTTCTTTTTTCTTCCTGAAGAATTCCCCGTGGGCTCTGGCATGGACATCAGCTCCGTTCTCCACCAGCAGCTTCACCAAGTCAAGGCTCCTTTTCTCTATGGCGATGTGCAGGGCTGTCTGGCCTGAGGACAGAGCCAGCCTGTCACCCTGTGCCACTCACAGAGGGGACAGGGCACAGGGGATGGCACCACAGACTGCTGCTTGATTGTGTTCTGCACAGCCTCAGGGCTGGGCAGGGCTGGCTGGCAGCTGAGGGCTCCCAAAAAGCCTCAAAACCATCAGAAATTCAGCACCAGAGCAGGCACTTCCCCCTGCCTGAGCTCC